GTAGGTTGGGGTGCCCAGAGATGCCTTCCAGGAGACTCAACTCAGGAGGCCTGGATGATCCTCCACAGAGTTTGAGGAACAGGCTAGTAAGGGAAAGCATTACGACAAAGTCATTTAGAAGCTTTGAACCTCTCCAAGACCCTGGCTCTTATTTACTTATTTACTTATTTTGAGACAGAGTCTCACTCTGTCGCCTAGGCTGGAGTGCAGTGGTGCGATCTTGGCTCACTGCAACCTCTGCCTCCCGGATTCAAGCAACTCTCTTACCTCAGCCTCCCAAGTAGCTGGGATTCCAGGTGCCAGCCACCACACCTGGCTAATTTTTGTATTTTTAGTAGAGACAGGGTTTCACTATGTTGTCCAGGCTGGTCTCAAACTCCTGACCTCAAGTGATCTGCCCACCTCAGCCTCCCAAAGTGCTGGGATTGCAGGTGTGAGCCACTGCGCCCGGCCAAGACCCTGGCTCTTTTTGCTGCTTCCCGTTTTCCGTACTGAATGCAAAAATATATCTAGAAGTCACTCCAGGAAAAGCTAATGCAATCTAAGTTGTCCCTGGGGGGGCATATTTTCTCTGGGAAGTGAATAGGTGAGGTTGAAGAGAAACCCTCCACTTGCAATATCCTCCCAAAGCATGATGGGAAAGAACCAGACCCCCACATCTGGGGTTTTTCCAGTTCTTCTACCCTACTGCCCTACTCAAGAGATACTCAAATGGCAGGCACCAGCCTATTGTACTATTTTTTCTTCTGGGTAAAGCATGAGACCCTGGGTCTCTTTTTTCCTACTGTGGTGAATGGGAGAATGCAGACGAAAACCTGACTGTCTTTATCTCACGTCCCTTGGCCTAGATACATCCAGAAGTAGTCCATTCTTCTTTTCTTTTTTTTCCCCTTCTCGGCCCCTTTAGTTTGCCAAGTCAAATATCCTCCAAGTAAACATGAACTCCTTATCTCTCCCTCATGTTAAAAAAACAAAAACAAAAACCCAGAGCCTCTCCCCTTTTATTATAATCATTCTCTTCACTCTTTTTTACCAGCTGGGTTCCAATGTGTACATCTTGCTGTCTGCATCTCAGGTAAAGTTAAGAAACGAAAGGAGAAAAAAGGGAACAAATATTTAGTGAACTCTCCAATGTGTCAGAGTCCATCACATTAAGTACTTTGGTTCATTTAATCTTCACAGCAAAATGAGATTATTATTATTTTTCCAATTTGCAGATCAGGAAATAGAAATTAAAAGTTTAAATACCCTGTTCAAAGAGACACAGATGTTGAGAAAGCCAAGATTTAACCCAAGGGTCAGAAAGAAACCTGTGCCTTTCTCTTTACTCCAGATTTCTTTCAGTCCTTTTTTTTTTTTTTTAATTTTTATTATTTTTATAATAGAGACAGGGTTTTGCTATGTTGGCCAGGTTGGCCTTGAACTCCTGGCCTCAAGCAATCCTCCTGCTTCAGCCTCCCAAAGTGTTGGGATTATAGACATGAGCCACTGCACCTAGCCTCTTTCAATCCTAAGGATTTTACATTTTCACTATGTTCAGCCTACTTGTGTTTGTAAGGAGCCATCATTACTTTCTTTTATGGGATTACTTTGATGATTTTCAAGATCCTTTTAGAGGAGACTAAGCTAATAAATACTAATGCCAATACCTTGGCCGGGCACAGTGGCTCACACCTGTAATCCCAGCACTTTGGGAGGCCAAGGCCAGCCTGGCCAACATGGCGAAACCCCGCCTCTACTGAAAACACAAAGATTAGCTGGGAATGGTGGCATGCACCTGTAATCCCAGCTACGCAGGAGGCTGAGGCAGGAGAATCGCTTGAACCTGGGAGGCAGAGGTTGCAGTGAGCCAGGATCATGCTACTGCTGTCCAGCCTGGGCAACAGAGTGAGAGTCTGTCTCAAAAAACAAAACAAAACAAAACAAACTTAAAAAAAAAATACCAATACCTTAAATTTATGTAACACTTGACAGTGTACTTTTTGCCTTATTTTTTCTTTTTTTTTTTTTGAGATGGAGTTTCGCCCTTGTTGCCGAGGCTGGAGTGCAATGGCACAATCTCAGCCCACCGCAACCTCCATCTCCTGGGCTCAAGCGATTCTCCTGCCTCAGCCTCCTGAGTAGCTGGGATTCGCGTGCCACCACTCCCAGCTAATTTTCATATTTTTAGTAGAAGTGGAGTTTCTCCATGTTGGTCAGGGTGGTCTCGAACTCCAGACCTAAAGTGATCCGCCTGCCTCGGCCTCCCAAAGCACTGGGATTATAGGCGTGAGCTGCCATGCCCAGCCTTCCTTATTTTTTCATTGTTTCAATGTTTTATTTTCTTTGGCCATGTCACCTTATAGTTTTTCAATATTTCCATATATTCTCTTATCTCATTCTCAGGAAAAACAAATTACATTGGCTTGTTTTTCAGTAGCTTTGTTTTTTGAAAGACTCATACATGCTTGTTGCAACTAAAATTAAGCAATATAGAAATTGTAAAAAAAAAAAAAAAAGTAAAAATCACCCTAAATCCTGCTACTCAGAGATAACCACTGTTAATATTTGAGTAAATATGTTTTTCATCTGTTTCTCCGTTTGTATAATTTGACTAAATGGGATCATACTCTGCCTTTCTAGGCTGCTTTTTTTCACTGAGAGTATGCTGACAACAGCTTTCCACATCAGTAAATATATATTTATGTCATTATTTATATTTATTTTAATTCTGTTTATTTTCTGGTTTTTGTTTTTGAGGCAGGATCTTGGTCTTTCACCTAGGCTGGAGTGCAGTGGCACAATCACGGCTCACTGCAGCCTTGACCTCCTGGGCTCAAGTGATCCTCCCACCTCAGTCTCTAGAGCAGTTGGGAGTACAGGCACACTCCATCAAGCTCAGCTACTTTTTTAATTTTTTTGTAGAGATGAGATCTCACTATGTTGCTCAAACTGGTCTTTAACTCCTATGCTCAAACAATCCTCCTGCCTCAGCCTCCCAAAGTGCTAGGATTACAGGCATGAGCCACTGCACCCAGCTCCATTATTATTTTTAATGATTATATAGTATTCCAATTTAAGCATACGTTTCACTTGACCAGTGACCTATTGATGACATTTGAGACTACTTCCAATTTTTGATTGTCATAAGAAATTATCAGCCCTAATTTAAAGATTAGGGAATCGAAGCTCTGAAAAAGCTAAATGACCCCCTTTTCAAAATCCAGGTCTAGAGCTAAGCTACTTGCGCCAAGCCCTAGATTTGACTCTTTTTTTTTTTTTTTTAAAGACAGGGTCTCACTATGTTGCCCAGGCAGGTCTTGAACTCCTGAGGTCAAGGTGTCCTGGCCCAGACTTCTTACTCAAAACAGTTCTCTTTCCAAATGAACTATAAGAATAGAAAGTTGGAATTCTTGACATATAATAGGAGTTGACATTCTTGGCATATAATTTAGAATTGACAACAAAAAATGAGATGTTTTTAACTGTCCCATTTCTTTTTATTTCCTTTTTTAATCAGTCTACATCATGCTTTGATGCCCCATTTCTTTAAAAGTTAAGCATATGCTTACTATAAAACCCAGACATTCTGCTCCTATCTATTTACTCAAAATAAATGAAAGCATATGTCCATACAAATACTTATACATGAACGTCCATAGCAGGGTTTTTTTTTTTTTTTTTTTAGATGGAGTCTTGCTCTGTTGTCCAGGCTGGAGTGCAGTGGCGTGATCTCAGCTCAGTGCAACCTCCGCCCTGTGGGTTCAAGCAGTTCTCCTACCTCAGCCTCCCAAGTATTTGGGACTACAGGCGTGTGCTACCGCACCTGGCTAATTTTTGTATTTTTAGTAGAGATGGGGTTTCACTATGTTGGCCAGGTTGGTCTTGAACTCCTGACCTCAGGTGATCCGCCTGCCTTGGCCTCCCAAAGTGCTGGGATTACAGGCGTGAGCCATTGAGCCCGGCCCATTCATACCAGTTTTATTTGCAGTATTCAAGTAATGGAAACAACCTAAATGTTCATCAACAAGCAAATGGATAAACAAATTGTAATATGCCCATACAATGGAATACTACTCAGCAATCGAAAGGAGTAAACTATTGATAGGTACAGCAACATGGATGAATTTCAGAAACATATTGAGCAAAAAAAGCCAAACACAAAGGAATATACACTGTGTAATTCCACTTATTTGAAGTTCAAGAATAGGTAAAACTGAGCTATAGTGATGGAAAGTGACCCCAGTGGTGCCTGGAGTTGTAGGGGAGCTTGGAGGGGGCCCAGAGAATTGACTGGGAAGGGGCATGAGTGGATCTTTTGGGTTGGGTTAATGGAATTGTTCTATATCTGAATTGTGGTAACAGTTACATGGATATATGCATTTATCAAATCTCACCAAACTGTACACTTTTTTTTTTTTTTTGAGACAGAGTCTCGCTCTGTCACCCAGGCTGGAGTGCAGTGTGCAATCTTGGTTTGCTGAACCTCCACCTGCCCGGTTGAAGCAATTGTCCAGGCCCAGCCTCCCACGTAGCTGGGATTACAGGCGCACACCAGCACACCCGGCTAATTTTTTTGTATTTTTAGTAGAGATGGGATTTTGCCATGTTGGCCAGGCTGGTCTAGAACTCCTGACTTCAAGTGATCCACCCACCTTTGCCTCCCAAAGTGCTAGGATTACAGGCATGAGCCACTACGCCCCGCCAAACTGTACACTTTAAATGGGTGAATATTATTGTATGTAAATTATATTTCAACAAAGTGTTGTTTTTTAATTGGCCCTTTTGTTTTGTTACCATGAAGTATACTGCGTCTGGCAGAGACAAACATTTGCCATAAATGAAAAATGTCTGTGAATGAATAATTATCTCTATATATATATATGGTTTTTTTTAAAGGATAAATGGCACTCATCTGGTCCTTTCCCAGTAATAGGAGTCACTTATCAGAAAAATAACTTGTCTCCATGAGCTTGACCCTGAAAAGATGAGACACAGGTCGGCTCTACATACCGTGGGTAATGCTGCTCTGGCTGGACATGCAACAGCTGGCCGGGGTCCTCGGCAGTGGGCCCAGGCAGGCATCTGCGTAGGGAGAAAGAAGGGCTCAGCCCTCCCCTTAGCATACATTTTTCAAGGGCAGACCTGCCTAGGAGGGTCACATGTCTGATGCCTTTGCCAGGCCTCCAAACATAGAAAAGCTGCAGGGTTCTATGAAAAATGAAGCCTTTGTGTCAAAAATAGACCTTCAAGGAGAAAATTAAAAAGCTGTTTCCTGAAGCTAGCAAAGGGGAGCTATCCTGGAAAGGAAAATGCCTGGAAAGCCAGTTTGAATTTTGAAGGGCCATGCTAACAAGTGATGACAACCCAGGGGCCTCCTTTCAGAGGCCCCGTAGAATTTCACTGAACTCATTTGCCTCCAGTCTCCTCGAATCTCACACTGCAGAACTTCTGGGATACTTTAAAGTGAGTTTCTACAGAAAAGGAAAAATCAACTGACTGTCAGGTGCTTAACTGGTTAGGAACATCAAAGATGCCTGCTTGAAAAAGAAAGCAAATCAAAACAAAACAGAAAGCCCTAAACAGGAATCTCTAGAAAGCAACTCTTTGTAACTGATAATAGCAGCCTGCTGTAAAGGCATCCCCAAAAGTAAAATGTTCATTTCCTCCAAAAAGAGTGTGTGTGTGTGTCTGTGTGTGTGTCTCTGTGTGTCAGAGAGACAGAGACAGAATGAGGTGGAAGAGGTCAAGACTAGAGAGAATAAGTGAATATTTCCTTTCTCTCACCAGACCTCATGTGGCCAAAAGCTAAACAGGTCCATAATCAGCACACTGTTCATCTATCCTTGTGTGTATCCTTAAGCTAGTATCTCAAGAGTCTAATTCCCTAAATCTCAGTCACTTGGGAGCCGGTGGGTCTTGTTAAAAATGCCCATTCTTGGCCGGGCGTGGTGGCTGACATCTGTAATTCCAGCACTTTGGGAGGCTGAGGCAGGCAGATCACGAGGTCAGGAGATCGAGACCATCCTAGCTAACACAGTGAAACCCCACCTCTACTAAAAATTAAAATAAAATAAAATAAAAAAAATTAGCCAGGTGTGGTGGCAGGCGCCTGTAGTCCCAGCTATTTGGGAGGCTGAGGAAGGAGAATGGCGTGAACCCAGGAGGCGGAGCTTGCAGTGAGCTAAGATCACGCCACTGCACTCCAGCTTGGGCAACAGAGCGAGACTCCATCTGAAAAAAAAAAAAAAAAAAAGCCCATTCTTGGCTAGGCATGGTGGCTCATGCTTGTAATCCTAGTACTTTGGGAGGCCAAGGCGGGCAGATCACCTGAAGTCAAAAGTTTGAGACCAGCCTGGCCAACATGGCAAAACTCCTTCTCTACTAAAAATACAAAAATTAGCTGGGTGTGGTGGTGCACGTCTGTAATCTCAGCTACTTGAGAGACTGAGATAGGAGAATCACTTGAACCCAGGAGGTGGATGTTGCAGTGAGACGAGATCGTGCCACTGCACTCCAGCCTGGGAGACAAGAGTGAAACTCTGTCTCAAAAACAACAACAACAAAAAGCCCATTCTTGGCCGGGCGCAACAGCTCATGCCTATAATCCCAGCACTTTGGGAGGCTGAGGTGGGTGGATTATTTGAGGCCAGGAGCTCGAGACCAGCCTGGCTAATATGGTTGAAAACCTGTCTCTACTAAAAACAAACATTAAAAAATGAGCCATGGTTGTGGGCACCTGTAATCCCAGCTACTTGGGAGGCTGAGACACGAGAATCATTTGAACCTGGGAGGTGAAGGTTGCAGTGAGCCGAGATTGGGCCACTACACTCCAGCCTGAGTGACAGAGCAAGACTCTGTCTCAAAAAAAAAAAAAAGCCCATTATTGGGTCCCAGACCCCTACAGTATAAGTCCATGTGTCTGAAATAGAGCGCAGGAATCACCATGTGATTCTAATGCACATTAAAGCTTGAAGGTCATTACCATTTCTTTTCTTCTCTTTTTTTTTTTGAAACAAGGTTTTACTCTGTCACCCAGGCTGGAGTGCAATGACATGATCTCGGCTTACTGCAGCCTCCACTTCCTGGACTCAAGTAACTGGAACCACAGGTGTGTACCACCGTGTCTGGCTAAGTTTTTGATTTTTGGTAGAGACAAGGTCTCACTTTGTGTCCAGGCTAGTTTTGAACTCCTGTGCTCAAGCGATCCTCCTGCCTCAGCTTCCCAAAGTGCTGGGACTACAGGCATAAACCACTGAGCCCAGCAGAAGATCATTACTTTAAGCAAACACAGTTAATCGTTTATTAATGGTTTGCTCAATAGTTCAACTTGATTACAGGTCAGCAAATTAAACTCTGTATTTTCACTGGTGTGTTTGAATTCTGTTTGTCTCAAGAAAAGCAACTATGAATTGGTGGGGAAAAATACCCACTGGATGGTTGAGAATATAAATCCATACATTTCTGAGATTGGTGGCAATATGTTACAAAATTCTTCTAAATGCTTTCACCCAGATTTTCCACTCCCAGTCATGAATCCTAATGTAATAATGAATGAGCCAAGATACGAGAAAGTTTATTTTGCTCTTGTTCATAATTTTGAAAAATTGGAAACCATCTAAATGCTTAACAAAAGGAGATCAGTTAAACTAGTTACAAGAGTGGCATGTAATAAATGCAGATCTGAATTTATTGACACAGGCACATGTTTAAACTACATAATTGTTCAAGGGACAAAGAAGAGTACAAAACTATGTCATATGTTTATTTTTGTAAAAAGAAATTTAAAACAGGCCGGGCATGATGGCTTACACCTGTAATTCCAGCATTTTGGGAGGCCGAGGCAGGCAGATCTCGAGGACAAGAGATAGAGACCATCCTGGCCAACATGGTGAAACCCTGTCTCTACTAAAAATAAAAAAATTAGCTGGGCATGGTGGCCTGTGCCTGTAGTCCCCACTACTTGGGAAGCTGAGGCAGGAGAATCGCTTGAACCCAGGCAGCAGAGGTTGCATTGAGCTGAGATCGCGCCACTGCACTCCAGCCTGGCGACACTGCAAGATTCTGTCAAAAACAAAGCAAAACAAAACAAAAATTAGTGGGGCAAGGGGGTGTGCACCTGTAGTCCCAGCTACATGGGAGGCTGAGTCAGAATAATCGCATGGGCAACAGAGAGACTCCATCTCAAAAAAAAAAAAAAATTAAGAACAAAATTTTGAAGAATAATATACAAAATGTTAACAATACCTATCTCTGTGTGGTGGGGTCACATTTTTCTTCCTTGTAATTTGTTTAAATTGGTTTAAAATTATATACATATATTATTATTTTAGAGACAGGGTCTCATTCTGTCCCCCAGGCCATAGTGCAGTAGCATGATCATGGTTCAGTATAACCTCAAACACTTGGGCTCAAGCGATCCTCCCATCTCAGGGGCAGACCACCATGCCTAGCTACATTTTTTGTTTGTTTGTTTTTAAGTAGAGATACGGTCTCACTGTTTCCCAGGCTTACTGTTATAATCAGAAAAAGCATAGGGCTGTAACCATTTTGAATAAAAGGAGCAGATCACTGAATTCCATGTTTAAAAACTGGGTTAAAGTCCCAGATCTACTGCTTTGAACTTCACTTTTCTTTTCTCTGAAATGGAGTATTATCATCTCAGAGGTACTCTCCATCTACCTCTGAGAGTAGTTGTGAGATAAAGTTTGGAAATATTTTGCAAACTGTAAAGTGTTTTATAAAGATGCTGTATTACTAAGTTTTGATTTTCACATCAGAGACCCAAATTCATTCAATACCTAAATCTGTGAATATGTCATTAAACATGATGCTAGCCTTTTTTAAAAAAAATTATATGTTACTTTTTATTATGGAATTTATTTATTTATTTTGAGACAGAGTTTAGCACTTGTTTCCTAGGCTGGAGTACAGTGGCGCAATTTGGGCTCATTGCAAACTTTGCCTCTGGGGTTCAAGTGATTCTCCTGCCTCAGCCTCCCAAGTAGCTGGGATTACAGGTGTGCACCACCACACCGAGCTGATTTTTGTATTTTTAGTAGAGATGGAGTTTCACCGTGTTGGCCAGGCTGGTCTCGAACTCCTGACCTTAGGTGATCCGCCCGCCTCGGCCACTGAAAGTGCCGGGATTACAGGTGTGAGCCACCGCACCCCGCTGAGAGACCCTGTCTCTACCAAAAAAAAAAAAAAAAAAAAAATTTAAAAAATTAGCCAGTTGTGGTGGTACATGCCTATAGTCCTAGGTACTCAAGAGGCTGATGCAGGGGGATCACTTGAGCCTGGGAGTTCAAAGTTTCAGTGAGCTATGATCATGCTATTGCACTCCATCCTGAGCACAGAGAGAAATTTTATTAAAAAAAAAAAAAGTAGCCTGGATACAATGGCTCATGCCTGTAATCCCAGCACTTTGAGAGGCCAAGACAGGTGGATTGCTTGAGGCCAGAAGTTCAAGACCAGCTTGAGCAACATGGTGAAACCTCATCTGTACAAAAAAGAAAAAGGAAAATTTACTAACTCAATAGAACTTTACAGAAAAAAAAATTAGCTGGGTGCGGTAGTGTACAGCTGTAGTTCTAGCCACTCAGGAGGCCGAGGTGGGAGGATTGCTTGAACCTGGGAGGTTGATGCTGTAGCAAGCTGTGATCATACCACTGCTCTACAGCCCCGGTGACAGAACAAGTCCCTGTCTCAAAGAAATAAACAAAAAAGTGAATAAAACAGTATACACACTCCCATGTATGCGTCACCCAGCTTCAATATTATCAACTGACAGCCAACCTTGTTTTGTCTACACCTCCCACTCACTCCCAACCTCTCCCATATTAACATAGCGCCAGACTTTTAGTTGAGCTCTATAAATTTTTTTTTTTTTTTTTTTTTTTTGTGTTTTGAGACTGGCTCTCACTCTGTCACTGAGGCTGGAGTGCAGTGGCACGATCTAGGCTCATTGCATTGCAACCTCTGCCTCCTTGGTTCAAGTGATTCTCCTGCTTCAGCCTCCCAAGTAGCTGAGACTACAGGCACGTGCCACCATGCCCAGCTAATTTTTATATTTTTAGGAGAGACAGGATTTCACCATGTTGGCCAGGCTAGTCTCAAATTCCTGACCTCAGGTGATCCGCCCGCCTCGGCCTCCCAAAGTGCTGAGATTACAGGTGTGAGTCACTGTGCCTGGCCAAGCTCTATAACTTTCATGTACACAAAAGTACATTCCAGTTCTCAACTCCTCATCTAAAAAGACAGTTCAGAGACCAGGACACGGTGACTGGTTTCCTGCCAGGTGGCATAGGGGAGCTTAACAAGAACTACCATCCCAATTTCCTGGTGGTGAAGAAGCATACAACCATCAGTGAGATCAAAGACACTTTCCAGCAGTTTCTAAACAGGACGACATTGGCATCATCCTCGTCAACCAGTACATTACAGAGATGGTGAGGCACGCCTTGGATGCCTACCAGTGCTCCATCCCAGTCATCCTGGAGATCCCCTCCAAGGAGCACCCATATGACGCCACCAAGGAATCCATCCTGGGCAGGGCCAGGGGCATGTTCTCTGCCAAAGACCTGCTCTAGGGGATTCCTCACAGCCCAAAGCCCCTGCCTCATTTCCAGGCCTCTCCCCAGGCTTGCCATCAGCCTTCTTTAAGTTATGAGCCTCTGACTTCCAATTCCCATCTCTCCCCACTTCATGAAGAGGCTAGGTGAGGCGCTCTTAGGTTGCTTGGGCTCTGCTGTTAAAGTCAAGGCTAGTTAAGGAACAGGAAGCCAGACCATCTTCTCTCTCCACTACCTCTTCCCTGTGCTGTTGGTTACACAGTGTTGTTGTTGATGCAAAATTAAAGTCTAATATTAATAATATTCTTGCTTCTCTCCAAAATAACGAAAACAAAAACAAAAAGTTGATATAGTGCAATTTCTACAGATTATGTATGCAACTCAGCATTGGGCCAACAAAAGGACCCTTAAAGTCTAATAGACTTGAGTTCAAATCCTTCCCTGTCACCTACCAGTCATGTGACATCAGATAAATTAATTACCCCTTTTAAGTCTTGTTTCCATTAATACCTGCTTTCTATAGTTAACATGAGACTGAGGCTGGGCGTGGTGGCTCATGCCTGTAATCCTAGCACTTAGGGAGGCTGAGGTGGGCGGATCATTTGAGGTCAGGAGTTCACGACCAGCCTGGCCAACATGGTGAAACCCCATCTCTACTAAAAATACAAAAATTAGCCAGGCATGGTGGCGTGTGCCTATAATCCCCGCTACTCAGGAGGCTGAGGCAGAAGAATTGCTTGAACCCAGGAGGCAGAGGTAGCAGTGAGCCAAGATCACGCCATTGCACTCCAGCTTGGGAGATAGAGTAAGACTCCATCTCGGACAGAAAAAAAAAAAAAATGAGACTTAAATAAGAGAATGTATGTAAAGCACTTAGCATGACGTCTAACACATAGTGGCGGGGGGCGGGCAACAACATCTCACAATATATTCCATTTGTTTATAGAAGACCTTTAGGAAGTACAACCATAAATATTGATTTCCCTTTGACATACAAAGAAATTGACAACATTAATGGGTATTGCTAACAGTGGAGAGACAGAGAACTGCTCATTTTCTACTGGGAAAGTGAAAATTGGGACAACCACTGAGCACAGCCACAATTTGGCAGTATCTAGGAAAGTAGAAGAGGCGTTTTCCCCTACATCCCAGCAATTCTATTTCTAGGTATATGCTCTAGAAAACTCTCACACGTGTACCCAAGAAGACATATAAGAATGTATATTGCAGGCCAGGCGCGGTGGCTCACGCCTGTAATCCCTGCACTTTGGGAGGCTGAGGAGGGCGGATCACAAGGTCAGGAGATCAAGACCATCCTGGCTAACATGGTGAAATCCCCGTCTCTACTAAAAATACAAAAAAGTTAGTCTGGCGTGGTGGCACCTGTAGTCCCAGCTACTTGGGAGGCTGAGGCAGGAGAATGGCGTGAACCCGGGAGGCGGAGCTTGCAGTGAGCCGAGATCACACCACTGCACTCCAGCCTGGGAGACACAGCAAGAGAAAAAAAAAAAAAAAAAAACAAAAAAAAAAAGTATATTGCAGCTAGGTGTGGTGGCTCACCCTTATAATGCCAGAACTTTGGGAAGCTAAGGCTGGAAGATAATTTGAGCCCAGGAGTTTGAGACCAGCCTGGGTAACATAATGAGACCCCCCTCTACAAAAAAAAAAAAAAATCAAAAAATTACCCAGGCATAGTAGTATGCACCTGTAGTCCCAACTACTCAGGAGGCTGAGGTAGGGTGATTGTTTGAGCCCAGGAGGTTGAGGCTGCAGTGAGCTGTGGTTGTACCACTACACTCCAGCCTGGGTGACAGGGCAAGACCCTGTCTCAAAAAAATTTTTATTTTAAATTAAAAACATGTACACTGCAACAATGCTTATGAGAGCAAACAATAGGAAGCAGTCTAAATGTCCAATAGTACAGAAAATGTGATATAGTCAAGGAAGATAAATTGTGATATAGTCATGAATGAAACATCTACACCAATTAAATTGGCTGAAGTAGTTACATGTGGCAACATGAGTAAATACTGTAAAGTTGAATGAAAAGAGTGGTGGCAAAAGGATCCCTCAATATGATACCTTTTTTTTTTTTTTGAAATAGAGTCTCGCTCTGTCACTAGGCTGGAGTGTAGTGGCGATACCATTATTTTTTAATAGCTTTATGGAGGTGTAACTGATATACAAAAGCCTGCATATATTCATTATGTACACTCTGATGAGTTTGGACATATGTACACACTCATGACACTACTTTGTCTCTGTCTCAAAAAAAAGATGAATAATAGATTCATAATAAATCATACATTCAGGATAATCAATATTCAGGATAATGGTTATCTCAGGAAAGAAAAAGAAGAAATGTAATAGAAGAGGGATACTAGTAGGGTGTAACTGTTTCTGTAATATTTTAGTTCTTTTTTTTTTCTTTTTTCTTTTTTTTTTTTTTTGAGACAGAGTCTTGCTCTGTCACACGGGCTGGAGTGCAATGGCACAATTTTGGCTCACTGCAATGCAACCTCTGCCTCCCAGGTTCAAGCAGTTTTCCTGCCTCGGCCTCCAGAGTAGCTGGGATTACAGGCATCCACCACCAAAGCCTGGCTAATTTTTGTATTTTTAGTAGAGACAGGGTTTCATCATGTTGACCAGACTGGTCTTGAATTCTTGACCTCAGGTGATCCACCCACCTTGGCCTCCCAAAGTGCTGGGATTACAGGCATGAGCCACCATACCTGGCCATATTTTAGTTATTTAAAAAATAGCTAAAGCACATATGGCTTAATGTCAGGATTTATGTGTAAAGACTCAGATTTTGTTATATTATTATTCATACATACGTATATGTATATGTATATGTATACATATGTATATAAGCAGAAAACGCTTACTATGTGGCACTGTTAAGATTCTTTACATGTATTAACTAATGTAATCATTTCAACAATCCTACAACCTTACGGTTACTATGATTATCTCTGTTTTACAGATGAGAAAACTGAAGTACAGAGATTAGAAACTTGCTCAATGTCACAAATCTAGTAAGTGGTGATCCTGGGATTTGAAGATGGTCTGGCTTCAGAGTCTGATCTTTTTTTTTTTTATTTTTTATTTTTTTAATTTTTATCTTTTTGGGCTGGGTGCAGTGGCTCATGCCTGTAATGCCAGCACTTTGGGAGGCTGAGGCAGGTGGATCACTGAGCTCAAGAGTTTGAGACCAGCCTGGGCAACATAGTGAGACCCTGTCTCTACGATAATAACAATAACAATAATAATTTTTATCTTGTTTATTTTTAAAAATCTTCTACTTATTAACTTTATTTCTTTTTCTCTCTGGTAACTCCCAGAACAAGAGTCTCATCTCTTAACAACCATATCCTACTACCTCTTCAAATATTTCAAAATTTTAAGAATATAAGAGGAGGGCAGTACTGAGCAGGGAGATAAAATTGTCTAGCATCACACAGGCTGTATGACAAAAAGGCAGTTCAACAATCTTTCCTAACCTTCTTTTGTTTCTGAGAGTCATACATACCTGTGACTTGTGATGAGAAGGATAAATCAAACAGCAAACTGAGAAGACTCTTCTCAAGGCTTTGCGAAATTATCTGGAAGTTAATGCAGAGGAGAATAATTCTGTGAATGAAGAGAGTTTTTCATTTAAAGTTTGAGCTAATAATCCTGAAGGTTATGATTGTTGTTAAATTGTTATCTACATTTAGGCAGGACCATTTGCATGGGCAAATCCCCAATGAGTCATAACCCACACATGAGATAAAAATTAACTCTGTTCTTTCTATATTACAAAAGAGCAAAATTAAGACTAGAAATCAAATGTAATCTCTGCCTCCGGAAGATCTATTGGTGGGTTCAGCGTGTGTCTTTGGGGCACGTCAAAGACCACTGTTGGTGGCTGGGCCTAAGGGAGAGGCTGGTGTCCTCCTTTTATGATCCTCCATGGCTCTGACTCTGTGTTTCACATCCAGACCCAGCAGGGCTCCAAGGTTTAGGGGAAACCGTAGACTTGGACAGGGTAGTGGCAGGTCTCATGACAAAGAGAACTTAGTCCAGCAAGTAAAAAGCTTTTGGAGAAAAGTCAACTGAACATTTTTAAAATGGGTAATCTATTTTTGAATAATAGTAGGATATTTTCAGTCCTGTCATATTTCTGAATTTTATGATTTTATCTTCCCTCTGGAGAGTTCCTGGGGGCACCTCTCCAGTCCCACAAAAGAGTGAATTCCCCAATGGGTAAATTAATTCTTACATTTCTGTAGCAATTTCTTCCTTGCAAGGAGGTTTTTTATCTATTATATCATTTGAAGTTTATGCTATTTGATTTGTTGGGGCCAGGCACGGTGGTTCATGCCTATAATCCCAGCACTTTGGGAGGCCGAGGCAGGTGGATGGCTTGAACCCAGAAGTTCAAGACCAGCCTCTGCAGCATGGCAAAACCCTGTCACTACCAAAAATACAAAAATTAGCAAGGTATGGCGGCACCCATCTCTGTAGTCCCAGCTACCCAGGAGGCTGAGATGGAAGGATTGCTGGAGCCAGGGAGGTTGAGGCTGCAAGTGAGCCAAGACCGTACCACTGCACTCCAGCCTGGGCGACAGAGTGAGACCGGCTCAACAACAATGACAACAACAACAACAAAAAGTAAAGTAATTTTAATTAATTAGTTAATTTATTTATTTATTTCGAGATGGAGTCTCTGTCTGTCACCCAGGCTGGAATGCAATGGCGCGATTTCGGCTCACTGCAACCCCTGCCTCCCCAGTTCAACGATTCTCCTGCCTCAGCCTCCTGAGTAGCTGGGATTATAGGCGCCCGCCACTACTCCCAGCTAATGACCTCGTAATTTGCCCACCTCGGCCTCCCAAAGTGCTGGGATTACAGGCGTGAGCCACCGCGCCTGGCCTCTTTTTTTTTTTAATAATGTATAGGAAATAGGAATAACTACAACAATGATATCCAGTATTCGATGGTAATGGAAGATGCCCATCACAAAAGACCACATGTTGTAGATTCCATTTATACGAAATGTACAGAATAGGGAAATTCATGAAGATAGAAAGTAGATTAGTGGTTGCCAGGGGTTAGGGGTAGCAAAGGTAATGAAGAATGACTGTTAATGGGCACAGGGTCTCTTTCTGGGATGATGAAAATTGGGTAGTTCTGGAATTAGTTAGTGGTAATGGTTGCA